TGAGACAGGGTCTCACTATGTAGCCCAGGCCAGCCTCGAGCTCAGTGACCCTCCTGCCTCAGCCTCCCCAGCACTAGGATGACCGCTGGCCCACCAGGCCGGTTGTGATCTCCCGAGGTCCAGGAGGACCCACCACACCGTGAGGCTCCTGCCTCGGACCCATGCAGGACTCCCAGCGCCCCACCTCCGCGTTCAGGAAGTGAAGGGACGACGTCCCTCATCCCAGCTGATGGGAGAACAGCGCACTGTTCGTTAACTTCCCCGCATGTCGGGCGGCCGGTTCCACATCGTCACTCGCTGTGCAGAGGTGATCCTCCTGCCTCAGCCTGCTGAGCTCGGGATGATGGGCGTGCACTACCATGGCTGCCTGAGGGTTCAGCTCCCTAGGGTTCGCCTTTCAGGAAAACCAGCCTGAGCCCTCCCTGAGCCCCCACTGTCTGGCCGACAGGTCTGACCCTCCCTGGGGCCTGAATCGGCTCAGGACCAGCTGGAGGAGGTGACTGTGGCTTCTGTGTCCTGAGGTCTCGGTATTCGCTGAGTGGACCAGGCCGGCAGGGACCACACTGTGCCCGCCAAGCTCAGGCCTGTTCTTCTCCGGGGGCCCACAGTGGGCCCTCGAGTTACAACCGGCCTGACATAGGAACAACGTTGGGTTGTGACCAGGATTTAGTTTTAACTTACAAGCAAAGTCTTAAGTTACAACCCGAATGCCGGCCGCTTGTGCTTCCAGATGGTCTCAGACACACACTTAACCCTTAAAGAGGGACGTGACAGCACCCTCTCCTGTGTGGGGCTCACAGAGAACCCTGGGCCGGCGTCTCTCTGAGGACACCGAGCTCAGCCTGTGTACAGGGAGAGACTCTGAAGGCCGTGCGGAGGGGCTGGGCCTCCACTGACCACCCTGAGTTACAACCAGCCCTCGGGAACAGGTTGAGTTCAGAAATCAAGGGTGCACTATAAAGACTACTTCCTTTAAGAAATGTTTTTCTCTTTTACTTTTTCTACCTAAATTGGAAAAGACTAAATGTTTACAATAGTAAAAAGAAAACTATTACCTTGTGAATATTCTCAGACTAACTTGAAAGCAGACTCAAGGAAGGAAAAAAATGATTATTTTATGAATAAGAAATACTTATTCAAAATGCAGTTTTGTTCTTAAGAATTATTTTTTTAAAAAAGCAAAATCTACCCAAAACATTCCTTTTTCAAAATACATACTTTTCTTGTAAGAATTAAACTCTTGTAACCTAGCACTCAGGAGGCTGAGGCAGGAGGATCACCATGAGTTTCAGGCCAGCCTGGGCTACAGAACAAAACCCTGTTTCAAAAACAAACAAAAAACCCCAAACAAAGATTAAACCGTTTTAACTAAAGAACAAAGGACTGTGTGGACTCCTGGTACAGCAAGGAAGTATCCTGCATCTAAGAGAGAGCGAAAGAAGACCAGGGCGGGGCGGAAACTGCATTCTTCTGGAGACCGAGCTCAAGTCCAGGCTGTGTTCAAATGGCAAACACCATGACCTCTCCCGGTGCGAGCTCCGGACGTGCTCGGAGGTTGGCACTTCTGAGGACGAGGGGGACAGGGCGACAGCTCGCAGAGCCAGTGGCGCGGACCGTAAGCCCTCAGCGGGCACCAGGACCCGACACCGGCTGCGCTGAAGGCCGCGCACCTGAGAGCTGCTGAGCCGAGCCTGCGGAAGGGTGTCTCCTCACCCGGAATCACGGCCCCTCGCGAGGACGGCATCAGTGCCACAGATCAGAGCCTCAGCTGCTCAGAACTTGACTTCCGCTTGTGCAGTGCGCCGCATGTGCACCGGCCTCCTACCGCCTGTTTCTTGCCAAAGGTTCTGCAGACTCGGACGGGAAATAGAGCTGGGAAGGGGAGGAGGTGTGAGACTTCGAGCACCGCTCCCGGGAGGGAGGAAGGATGCGACCTCAGACAGGATGGACCCGGGCGGGCAGGAATCTGAGTTAAAGAAGGCAACCTCGGCCAGTCTTCCAGGGAACCTGCAGCAGGGGTTAGGCTGCGGTTTTCTTCTCAAAGAAAATGGCAAGGAAAAGCCCGGGCCTGCCCTGGCGGCAGCCCACGACTGCCCGAGGCACTCGCACGCACACTTACACGCTGCACGTCACGCACCGAGCACACTCCCCGGCTACTGCGGTCACTTTCATCCCGAGTTCACACCGGCAGTGCCCTCTTTCCAAAGCACACGTTCAGGGGCACCTGAAGCCGTCTCCCGCTGACCTTGGGGCCCCTCCGACGGCAGCGCCCGCCCCGTTAATGCTGGGTCCCAAGCCGGGTGTGGTGGCGCCTGTCCATCATCCCAGCACTCGGGAGGCCGAGGCGGGAGCACTGCTCTCCCTTCGAGCGCAGCTGGGGCACAGCGAGACCCTGTCTGGACACACACAGGACGCTGGGCCCTGGGTTTTCGAACTCCGTCCGGGCCACACTCCCGGGGGTGGGAGCTTGGATTCTAGGGCCTTGGACCAGCCCGAAGGACATGCGCACCCCACTTTCCCTAGGCTCCCAGCACCACAGCACAGGCGGGGGACCACGCACCCCAGTGCAGCCTCTACCTCCCAAAAGCCGGGTGTCCCCTCGAGACCCGGGGCAGGGCCCCCACACACACTCCGGGAGAGCGGTCACCTCGGTCCTGACCTCCGGGTGGGAGGCGGCTCAGACAGAGCCCACACTGAGGCCATCTGTGCACTCCACTGGTCACTCGAGCGAGAAGAGAACTCAAAGGAGAAAGGGCGGCACTGCAGCCAAGCTGTCCCGAAGCCTGAGGCGCTGTTCGCCATCCTGCAACGCCACACAGTGCACGCCTGTGATCCCAGCACTCACTCTGGAGGCTGAGGCGGGAGGATCGCTGCCAGTTCAAGGCCAGCCTGAGCTGCAGAGCAAAACCCTGTCTAAAAAAGACAAAAACAAAAACAAAGAATGTCATACTGCCTCCCATAAATACACACTACTATGTGTCAAGTAAGAGCACTTTTAGGGCTGGGGATTTAGCTCAGTGGTTCTACCGCCTGCCTCCGACCCAAGGTGGATCCCTGGTAGCAAAAAAAGAAAAGTAAATTTTAAAAAAATTTCAAAACAACTATAAGGCAGGCCCCATAAACAATTTTATGTTCTCTGATCATCACATTTAAAAGATTAAAACAGGTGAAATTAGTATACTTTTATTTAACTTGATGTAACCAAAACATTATCTGAACATAACACCAACATAAAAATTATGAATGAGCTATTTTACTTCTTCATACTGAGTCCTTCAAATCTGGAGTGTATTTTTTATTTCTACCCCAATTCCAACGCTAGTTTTCAACAGAAACACTTAATCGTATTTAGACTTCCAAATATTGACGGTTCAAAAGTGGACGTGCACATGCCCAGGGATGGTTCCTTAGGAATTCTGATGACTAAAGCAAGACGTAACCACAGCACTCCGGAGGCTGAAGCAGGAGATTTACCTAAAGTACACGGCCAGCCTGGGCTACACAGCGAGTTCAAGGCCAGCGCGAACAAGACCAGCGCGAACGACAGCAAACCCCTGACTCAAAACAACAAAGAATTTAAAAGGCTAAACGCGGGCAATTCCGCCGCCCAGCCCAGCCCTATGGGCCACCCCGGCAGCGCAGGCACAGCGGCGGGATCGGGTCTCGGCTGGTGCCGGTCCGCCAGCTTCTGTTGGCGGACTGAGCTGGGGCGGAGACAGCCTCGGTGACCTGTGTCCTGGAGCCTGTGGCCCGCACAAGTTCGGCCTG